CAGAATCTCACTATATATCCCAAGCTGGCATCATCAAAATTTATAATCCCTTCTCTTCTGCCTCCTGAGTACTGAGACTAAAAGCATGTACCACCATACTCAGATACTGTGTTTTCTTTAAATTTACAGGGTTTTGTAAGTGTAATTATAGAGCAATTACTCTAATGATTCCTGTCTTCTAGTCTTTCTTCTATTCTATTTTAACTTTCCCCTTCTGTTTTAGAGCAAATCTCAGAGCTTGGGATTATAGCTCCATGGTAGACACTTACCTAGCATGCATGAGGCCCTGGGTTCTATGTTCAGGATCAAATCCTAGGAAACTCTAACTGCCACATAATTTCACCTCTAAGTATTCAGACAACATGCCATTACTCACAGGAACACTTGTTCTTTTACGTAACCACTGGACTATTTTCATACTGAATGAAATTAATGATTTCTTAGTACCATTTAACAATGAAACAGTCTCTGGGCTTACCTCTCCTTTACTTATCTTTCTCTGTCCTCAATTCTCAAACTTTTTTGCCTGGTACCTTTATTCTGTGTCTACACTGTCCATCATCCTTTCTTTCTCTTTCTGATGTGAAAGCCTCAGGCTCACTTTTCTCTCTTTTCACATTCTTCTGCAGGGTGAGGAGTGACTGGGTAGAGATGTGCACCTGTGGAAAAAGGCACCTCTCTGTCCTTGGGGAGCTCTTAGGCCAACAGGGCAGGGTCCTGCCTTACTGGGGAGGCAAGGCCCTAAAGACCAGCAGGCCAATATGCCTTCTTCTTCCCCTGTCTGTTCTTTCCAGGAGGATCCCCGGGCTCCACAGCAACGACTGCACAAGCAGCTGGCTGAGCATCTGCGTCAAAGCTGGTGCCCACTGGGAGCCCCGACACAAGCCCGAGACCTAGGAGAGATGCTACAGGCTAGGGGTGCTAGGGATAGGACTGGCACCCCCAAAGGCTCCCGCTTCACCCATTCAGAGATGTTTACCTTCCATCTGGTGGGTTGGCCAGAGTGGACAGGGAGTGTGCTGATGGCTTACTTGAGGGTTGCTTTCTATATAAACACCACTGTTGTCCATACAGGTTCCAGTGCCCACTGAGTAGGCTTTTTCCAATTGGGAGAGGGTGTCAGAGGGCTCCCCTACCTTCTTGGTACTTAAGTGGAGAAAGGGTGGGACTCATGTAAGAGTGTGCAGTGCTCCCAGCACAAAGCCCATCTTTCCTTGGCCTTTCCTTTGGGAAATATGTTTCCCTTTGGGAATATCTTTTCTCCTTAGATGCTCACTCAGAGGAACTCCTGCTCTTCTCATGGTCAGGGTGGTTATAGAGCCAAGGTGGTTATAGAGTCAGGGTGTGTATAGGATCGTGGTTATAGGGTAAGGGTGGCTATAGGATCAGGGTGGTTATAGGACCAGGATGGCTAGAGGGTCAGGATGGCTATAGAGTCAGTGTGATTTTAGGGTCAGGGTAGTTATAGGGTCAGGATGGTTATAGGGTCAAGATGGTTATAGGGTCAGGGTGCTTATAGAGTCAGGGTGGTTATAGGGTCAGGGTGCTTATAGAGTCAGGGTGGTTATAGGGTCAGGGTAGTTTTAGGGTCAGGGTGGTTATAAGGTCAGGGTGGTTATATGGTCAGGATGGCTATAGGGTCAGGGTGGTTATAGAGTCAGGGTAGTTTTAGGGTCAGGGTGGTCTGGGTTAGCATCATGGAGGTTTTCCTTGTGGTTAGCCACTCTAATCTGCAGTTAAAGATGGTGCTTTATTCTCCTGTAGTCACAGTCTGAAAACTATCAGTGGTTGAGTGGACATGGGTATAATGCTTGGGGGGTGATTTGGCATTTGAGGCTGTGAGGGGGATAGGACCTTGTATGATAGCCAGGTTGCTTCTTCTCCCCATAGGAGCCGCAGGCCCAGGCAGCCCAGGTGGCAGAAGTAGCAGCTACCTCCCAGAGGCCTGAACAGGTAAGGAGACCAAGACAAACATGCATGTGTGTGTGAGCACAAACACGCACACGCACACACAGTCAGCTGGGCTATGCCTGTCTTCTGGACTTGGTAGCTCCACCTAGACTACTGGCCTGTGCTTCCCAGGACACAAGGGCAGCTCAAGAGCAGGAGTTAGAGTCCCTTCGGGAGCAGCTAGTGAGTGTGAACCACATCATTGAAGAGGTTGAAGCTGACATGAAGACCATGGGAATCAACCTTGTGCAGGTGAGGGGCTGGGAGAGGGACTTGGACTGGATCAGGTCAGAGCTAGGGCTTTTGAGAGATGATCCGAAGAGGTCTATAAATGTCATAATTGTTTATGGAGGGTACTGGAGATCTCTGATATTCTTGAAGGTTCAGGAGAACTTGTGAAGCAAAGAAAGATGTTGGATTGATGGCTTGGTGGGCTTATAGGTCCATTGGAGGCACATTTGGGCATCAGTCAGGCTTTGTGAGGGAGACATGGCAGCCATGGGCATCAGTAGAGCAAGATGGGTCTATGTGGGCAGGGGCTTACAGGACTTCTTGGAGCTTCTGGCTGTCATTATGGAGCTGAAGATCCAGAAGCCTATATAGGTAGAGGCCTTAGAGTTATCTGTGAGGACTTGAGCTAGGCCCACGGTCATAGTGGGCTCACTGGGGTTGTAGTCTGTGTGTATGACTGGGAGCGTGGCTGTGAATGTATCAGGTAGAAGCCGAGTGCCGACAAAGTGAACTCAGTGTGGCTGAGCAGGAGCAGGCTCTGCGCCTGAAGAGCAGGGCGGTGGAATTGCTGCCTGATGGGGCTGCCAACCTCGCCAAGCTGCAGGTAGGCTGGGCTTTTGGGTTGGGCCAAGAGGGTGGGGTGGATGGATCCGGCCTGTTTTGACATAACCTCCCCCAACTCTTGCCAGCTCGTGGTGGAGAGTAGTGCCCAGAGGGTCATCCATCTAGCAAGTCAATGGGAGAAACACCGGGTCCCACTTCTTGCTGAGTACCGCCACCTCAGAAAACTCCAGGATTGTAGGGAGGTAGGTGGCAGAGTCCTGGGCTGGGAGTGTAGATGTACTGCCTCCATGGGGGGCTATCTCTGAGCTCTACTTATGCCTTTTGCCCATGGGTTCCTGGCAGTTGGAATCATCTCGACGGCTGGCAGAAATCCAGGAGCTGCACCAGAGCGTTCGGGCAGCTGCAGAAGAGGCTCGCAAGAAGGAGGAGGTCTATAAGCAGCTGGTAAGGCCCATTTTAGGGCCCTGGGTTATAAGGGTGGGTTGCCCTGTGGGTCTTGGGCTCATGCCTGCTATGTTCCTGCCCAGGTGTCTGAGCTGGAGACTCTGCCAAAAGATGTGTCCCGGCTGGCCTATACCCAGCGCATCCTGGAGATTGTTGGCAACATCCGGAAGCAGAAGGAAGAGATCACGAAGGTGTGTCACTGTGGTTCTGAGGATGGCTCAAGTGGGCAGACAGGCATAAGGTAGCCACATAGGGACTTTATGGTCCCTGATAGGCAGAGCTGTTCAGGTATACTCCACCACATAATAGACACATACAGTCAACCCCAGCCACCCTAACATATGACCTAGGCCCTGACTGGATGTAAGTGTAGGCACATGTGTACCATCACTGGCTAGCCACTCTGGCCCAGGCACGGACTGATGGCTACCCTGGTTTCTGCCAGATCTTGTCAGATACAAAGGAACTTCAGAAGGAAATCAACTCTCTTTCTGGGAAGCTGGACCGGACATTTGCAGTGACTGATGAGCTTGTGTTCAAGGTATGGAGTAGGCTGGGAAGGGGTGGAAGTGGGAGTGGGTATTGCCTGCCCATTTACCCATGAGCCAGCTTGGCCCTCTGTGAGACCTTTAGGTACACTCTTGCTTGGGCTTAGCTTGGCTCTGTGGACGGTGAAGGCAAAGTGGTAGTAAAAGGTTTCTCTATAGGGGCATAGAGTAGTGGAAAAGGTAGGAGTGGCATGCTAATATGTTTGAGGTCCCTTCTGTTTCATCAGGATGCTAAGAAGGATGATGCTGTTCGGAAAGCCTACAAATATTTAGCTGCCCTGCATGAGGTGAGGAGAGCCATGCATGTGGTGGGCTGGCTGGAGGGTGAGGGCCAGTGCAGGTGCAAGCCTTGTGTTCTTGTCTCCAGAATTGCAGCCAGCTCATCCAAACCATTGAGGACACCGGCACTATCATGAGAGAAGTTCGAGATCTTGAGGAGCAGGTGAGACCTGGGGATGAGAAGGGGAACGGAGGCAGGCCAGAGGGTAGCTCCTTGTTTTACACTGAGAGTCTTTGAAACCAGACACTCTACAGCCAGAGGCTTAGCCTTACTGCCTGCTGCGTCTGGGTCCTGAAGCTAGCCAGTTGGCCTACACTGAGCCCTGGCTTTCACCTTGAGGCTCCTCATGCCTCTCAGAGCCCATGGCAGAAGCTATGGCTTTAGGTGGAGGGAAGGCCATACACAGAAGCTGGGTGATGGGAAGGAACAGGTCATAGTTACAAGGGTAGAAGGAACGGGGAGTAGTGCAATAGAGGGGCAGCTAGCAGGGGCCGGAAATGGGCCCTGCATGCTGAAGATGTGTGTATCATCTTGTCTTAGATTGAGACAGAGATGGGCAAGAAGACCCTGAGCAACCTGGAGAAGATCTGTGAGGACTACCGAGCCCTTCGCCAGGAGAACGCTGGCCTCTTGGGCCGTGTCCGGGAGGCTTAGAGCCCCGATGGAGGTCTCCTAACCACAGGCAGGAATTTGGGGGTTCTGGAGACAGTGCCCAAGCAGTTGCTCTATCATTTCCATTTGACATCCACTTTCTCCTGCTGGGACCTTAAACCCAGATGTATGCCTGTCTGGTCCCATATATGATCAGGGTGATTGTCTAGCTCAAAATCAATTTATTGGATGGGCATTGGGAACATTGGGAACCAGGCGCCTTGGGTGCCAAATAAAAGAGAAGTTTTTCCATGGTCCACACTAAGGAATGGATTGGGGCTTGGGGTGGAGGACAGGGGTCAGTGGCAGGTGAGACATAGGGTACATTTTGGAGAGTTGGTGTGTATTCATGGAGTTCAGGAGATAGAGAGGAGGGGCTGCATGTGTGTACACTTATGAGTTCTGATGAGCCGTGTCTGACTTATATTTTTGGGCATTGCATGAGGCTGTGTATGACCAGTTATGCCTGTGTGATTTTATGGGATGTAATCCTGAAGGTTCCAGTGCTGCTGGTGTGCAAGGGTCTGCATGTCCACCTATGTGTGATAGTGTCCACGGTTCCAGACGTGGGTGTTTTGGGGTGAGTGATTAGGATTATTACAATCATACGAGAATACAGGATTATGCAGCTTTGAGGGCTCATGAGTGTACCAAGGCAGGTTCTTTGTGTTTTGGGGTTCGGGTTGAATTCAGGCAATGGTACTATGACTGTGTGTCTACGTCATCTTTCTGCTTGGAAGTGGCCAAGGCAGGCTATATGTTTAGCTGGTTATAAGGGCTGTTTGGCTGGAAAGCCCATCTTAGGGACAGGTTGGGGATAGGGACTGGGCTGGGATTGGTGCCCCTCTCAGCCTTACGGCAGATGATACAGTACAAGAGGGCAGACAGATAGGGAGTAGAGTCCTTGACAGGTAAGACAGCAGAGACATCATTGCCTGGTTTTCATAGGTATGTCCAGAACTCTCTTCCTTTCCCTCCACAGCTTCAGTTTCATGTTTTGGCCCCTGTCTATCTTTTCTTGGTTTTGAGGTTAAGGGTAGGGGTTGGAACACTTGCTGGGGCGTTGGCTCCTCTTCTTTCGAAATTCAAATTCATCTACGGTCCACACCGCTCCCTTCTCGTTTTCCACTCGCACAAAGCATTTGTGGAGGCTCAGGTTGTGGCGGATGGCATTCTGTGGAAGGAAGACCAGGACCCCAGATGGGGATGGGGTGGACAGTCATCCAGTGAGTTGATCAGACCTCCTCCATACTGACCTGCTCCTTCCGCATGTTTAGCCCCAGGTTAACCACCCTTAGGGCCATCCCAGCCACCACTGTGTAGAGAGGCGCTCACCTTCCAGGTGGCTGGGTGGTTTCTGAAGTAGGCGAACATGTGTGTGAACCAATGATAGATTTCATTGAGTGTCCTCTGCTTCTCTGGCGCTTCCAGGATGGCCTGCAAATTGGAGTCAGGTGGAGTAAAGGGTCTGTTTTCCCAGAGTTGTGCCTGAGGGGAGGGCCTATGCTAGGCTCTCTGACCTGGGATATGTGTGTAATTGTGGGTCAAGAGAGGGGAAGGAGAGAGAATGGGGGTGAGGCGTGGGGTCAAGGATGAAGTTAGACTTGGGATGGACAAAGGAAAGGGTAGTTTTAGCATCACAGTTTGGTTTGCATTGGCCTGGCTTGTAGTAGTTTTGGGTTGAAGGACAGATCTGGGGTGAGGCCATTAAGAAAGATCACATCATGGGGCTCCTCAGAGCTGAGGTTTGTTAATGTGAGATTCCACTCTTGGTGCAGTGTAGGAGGCAAGAAGCTCCCCTCCCCACCCTCCAGCTTAGGCTGCCCTGCTTACCCATCGGATGAGAGTAGCATATGTGAAAGGGGGCCGCATGTTATGGAACTTGAAATAGTCCATGTTGTGGAAGAACTCTGCAGAAGGTTGGGATAGATCAGTCCCCATGGCCTCCTCACACTGTTCCCCACCTGTATCTGCACTGGGACTACAAGGCCTGAAACCCTACCATTTGCTTCAAGGGTGGAGGGGGTCTATGATCACACATAGGTACTGTTTACTGAGCACCTGTCTGTACAAATTAAAAGAACTCGAGTAACTTGCACATCAAAAGCATGCAAGTGGCTCAAGTGGGACAGCCAGAATGATAGCCAGAGTTTTGGTCCTTGGTAAATCCACAAGCCAGGCCTGACAGGTGGGAGAGGATTGGTGAGCTTGGAGGAGTCTACCTGATTTCCCCTGAGGTGGGGCAGTAGGGAGGGTCCTTTGGAATTCCTTAGCCAAGTTCCTCCCTCATGATGGCCTCCTAAAGTAGCATCAGCCAAATAGATGAAGCATGGCTGGAATCCCCAAAAGACCCAAGGCTGGGGCTATGCATTTGTAACCATTGGGGCCTTCTAGGCCTAATAAACTGAGGTGAATTTTCCTCCCAGCTGCTGTTGAGGGGTGTGGGGGATGGGGAGCTCCTTTGTACCCTACCCTCTGGTACCAGTTGGTATTAGGAGCTTGGAGTCATCAGATGAGGTGCTGACTACACTGACCTGGAAAGGTGCTGTTGCCATGGCTTCCCCAGAGGTGCCTCCGCACTGCAAACAGGCTGTCTGAAGCCTCTCGTGGAGCAGACCAGGCAGGGAGGACGCTGCCCTCGGTGCTGGTGCTGCTGGCTACGATGCAGCAAGAGCTTTTGTCCATTGATGCCTGAGGGGTTGGGGAGGGAATGGTGATTGAGAGACTTAAGTTTTCATCTCACTTTATGCTTTTTAAACGTTATTTTATATTTTTATTACTAATTAAATTGGTTTTTGGATGCTTTTGCACATGTATACAATACACAGACCATTTTCACTACCTCCGCCCCCTACTGCTTACCTCTTTCCTCCCCACAAATCTCTCTCTTTCTCATTCATATCTATTCATTTGGTTTTTTAAATTATTATTATTATTATTATTATTATTATTATTACTATGTAGTCCTGGCTGGCCTGGAACTCACAAAAATTTACCTACCTCTGCCTCTTTACCATCCTTTCATATTCATTTTAGTTTGTCTTACTTAATTTTTTTTTCTGAAATAGTCTCATGACATATCTCTTGCTGGCCTTGTACTTTCCATCGTAGCTCTTCTTCTGGAGTGCTGGGATTGTAATTGTGTGCCACCATTATCTGGCTTCTATTTTTTTAATTTTATATTTTGTTTTATTCAGACAGGGTCTCTCTGTGTTGCCCTGCCTGTCCTGGAGCTTATTTCTGTAGCCTAGGCTGGTCTCAGACTCACAGAGATCCATCTGCCTCTGGGATTACAGGTGTGCATCACCACACCCAGCTTTCCTCTTAAAAATGTTTCCTTGGTTGGTTGGCTATTTACTTATTTATGTGGGGGTCTCAATCTCTATTATAGGGTAGTGTGCAATTTACTAGGTAGCAAAGGATGGCTTCAAAATTGGGGCACGATTGTTGTATGAACCTCCCAAGTGCTGAGACTAGTGCCTAAGCCACCATTCAGTTTCCATTTTACTTTTATTAAAAAAAGTTTTTTTTTTTTGAGACAGGGTTTCATGTAGCCCATGCTGACCTCTATCTTATTATGTATCATGGGATGACTTTGAGCTGATCCTCTTGCCTCCAACTCTGGAGTGCTGGGATTATAGGTATGGGTCATTATACTCAGCTTCCATTCTATTTTTATTTTAAATGAAAAAAATATTATGTGTGTATGGGAGTTTTGCTTGCACCACGTACATGCCTGGTGCCTGTGGAGACTAGAAAAGTGTATTGGATAGTTGTGAGCTGCCATGGGAGTGTTGGGAACAAAACTCTGGTCCCCTGGAAGAGCAGCAAGTTCTCTTAATCCCTGAGCTGTCTCTCCAGTAGTCCAGCTTCACTTTATTTTAAAATCTGTATTTACTTACTTGGTTATATTTATATCTGATTTGTATATGTGTATGATGTGTGGATACATGTGTACACATGCTGGAATTAAGGGCCTGTACTATCATGCACAGCATTTTGGGTAATTCTCTCTACCTAGGTGCACTGGGATGACAGACTAGCACTATTGCATCTGGGTTTGGGTGCTGGGATCCAAACTCATGTCCTTTTTTGGAGGAAGTCGTTTAAGACAGGGTTTCTCTGTATAGCCCTGGCTGTTCTAGAACTAGCTCTGTAGACCAGGCTGGTCTTGAACTCACGGAGATCTGCCTGCCTGTGCTTCCTGAGTGCTGGGATTAAAGGCATACACCACCACAGCCAGGCAAAATGAAGGTCCTTATATATGTACAGCAATCACTTTCCCCACTGCAGTCTCTCCCCAACTCTGTTTATTTGTATTTTTTAAGAGTACAGGTCTGTCTGTTGGCCACGATGGTTTTGAGCTTGAGGGTTCAAGTGACCCTCCTTCAGCCTCTCAAAGGGCAAGGACTATAGCTGCTTACCACTGTGTACAGCAAGGCCAGTGCTTTTGAGAAGGGCACCACCCTCTAGTCAATTGCAGGCTGTGGTGGAACTCCATAGAGCAACAGCGGTATCTTAATTAGAGTACAGTAGTGAGCATGCTATGAAGCCAAAGGTGCTGGGGCTGGGGGTGAGCAGGGCCTGAAGTGAGGTACTCTAGCTTCCAGCTGTGAATTTGGGAGAGGCAGCTAAATCTTTCTAACCTCAGTTGTCCTCATTTGTGCACCAGGGTGATGGTGGTAGCTATCTCTGTTTTAGTACAAGACTTGAATCAGTAAAGTTCACATCAGCAAAGGGCCTGAGACTAGGCATGTGAAATGTGTAGTCACACAGGACCTTACATTCTTCAATGTTCTGAGGTTATCTTGAACTTTCAACATAGGGCCCTCCTTTCTTTTTGCAGTCGCCCCTGTGTGTTCTGTAGCTGATGCATTGGCATCACTGTTTCCTTCTGTGTGTGGCTATTTACTATTGCTTCGGAGAGGCAGAATCATGATGCTTTGGAGGTCATAGTCAGAGGGCTTGTAAGTGGATTTGGAGTGTCTTCAGATTTGGCATATTAAGGAGGTGGGGATGGCCTGTACAGGCCAGGGCTTGCATGTGAGAAGGGGTCACTTGGTCCTTTAGGGCTCCTCCCTTGCCCCTCATCCTAGCACCTGACTTCTGTTGCCTCTGGACTTGGGGTACTCACCATAGATGGAGCCTTTGTCAGCACCATCTTCCCTGCCAGGTGGGCTTGCATAGCACACAGCTTCTCCTTTTCCAGCTCCAGCTATGGGGATGGACACCAAGGTGAGGCCTCTGATCTTTCTTAAGCACACTTTTGACTGTGCTAAGGCCTTTTCTTGGAGGGTCCTCCTCCACATCCTTCTTTCCCTTTAGCCGCACTCTGCAGGCCTTACCTGCTGCTCCAGAGACTGCACCACTTCCCTCTGGAGGAGGCACTGTGCCTTGCTCTTCTCATCCAGGAGGTGATCTGCTTGGCAGTGCCTGAGCAAGAAGATTCCATGTAGCTGACCATGCTAGGTCAGGCCTCTTGGTTCCCTGTACCAGATAGGGTCAGCCAAGCCCCAGCATGGGAGATTTCCCTATGCTCCCCCTTCCCCTCCATCTCTCTCTCCCACATGGCTTGCCTTAAACACATGCTCTTCAGCAACTGCTGGCTTCCAGGTCTGAGCTTATTTATCCCTTGAGCCTGGCCAGAGTGTTGGAGGTGACATTAGAAAGGTGTGTGTGTGTGTGGGGGGGGTGTTCAGTTGGCAGGCTCAGACTAGGCAAAGGCCTGGCTATGCAGGACATGCATCATTGCCAAGTGTTAGGTATGATTAGAAAAATACAGAAGGGGAGGGAGGGCAGAGATAAAGCAGAAGGGAGACAGCCGTAGTCTTCCAGAGGAACAGAAATTTGAGGATTAATAATGTGTCGTGTTACATGAGGGGAGGCAGGACAAAGCAGTTAGGAGTGTGGGTTCTGGAACCCAGCTCCCTGGGTTCATATCCAACAGTCATCACTCAGGTCTTGTGTGAGCTTGGCTGACCCTTCTGTTTGGCCTTAGTTCCTTTGTGTATTAGATGAAGATAACTATCAGCATATACCTTATCATTATGTGTCATCCTACATGTGAGGTAACCTGGGCCTAGAGAATACCAGTAACTTGCCCAAGGTCACAGAGCCAAGAAGGAATGAGGTCTCAACCTTGACCATTTCTTACTTTCCATCAAGAGGATGGTGAGTTGAGATATGCAGTCCAGACCTTTGCGCCGACCCCAGGACTCCATGCGTAGCATTAGGCTACTCACCTGTGAAACTCCTCTGGCTCCTCAAAGACCTTCTCACAACCAGGCCACTTGCAGACCCCATTTGCCAGAAGTGGGTAGGATCCTTGCGGTACAGCCAAAAGGTTGCTGGGGGTGGGAGAATACAGGGTGTCAGCAGAGGAGTAGGCAGAGAGGAGTAGCAGAGTGGTTCTTCTGAGCCCTTCCAACTCACTTCTCTTTCCTGGGTGTACCCGTGCGTGGGAAGGTGCAGAGTAGAGCTGGCTCCCCGGACACCCATTCAAGACTGGCCACATTGAGCCCTGTGGGTAGAGACAGGGTACTTCTGGAGTGGCGGGCCAGGCTTTGCAGCTTGTCCCAGAAGGCCTTCCTCTCCTTTTCCTGAGCCTTGAAGACTCTGACCCTTAGGACTGTGCCATTCCTACAGTCCAGGGCTTCTGATAGAAGCAGCTTAAAGATGGCCACTAGCCAAATAGTGATGACATTTTGACAAATGACAGCAATTTGTGACTTTTGATGTTCTATGTCTTCAAGGTTCTAAGCCCGACATCTTTTGGAAATTGGCAATTTCATGACTCTAACCACTAGACCTCCAAAGGGTTACCATTCAGAAAAGTTTACACCGCGTATGTTCAAAGATCAGAGGGTTTGGAGATTGTGTGAAGGTGTTACCAGGTGGCAGGCCAGGCCGGGCCTTCAGAGAGAAGACCCCAGTGGCAGCAGAGGGTGGTGGGAGCCTCATCATGGATGGGTTGTCCAGTGGGTGCACTTGTAGCACAGGAGTCTGAGCATGGGCATCTACAGTGGAGAGCTAGGAACACATAAGGGCCATGGCTTAGCCGGCTTGGGGTTCTGCCCCACAGCTGTCCCATTTGTTCCCTCCTCCCAGTCTGTTCAGATTGCATACCTGATGCATGAAGTGTGGTCTGTCCTGGAGAAGTGCCTGCAAGTGGGGTGAGGGGCCCAGCCGGGCCCCAGGGGGTGCCACCATGACAAGGGGCACCGTAGGCAGCTGGAAGGAGAAGGAAGATGCCATGAGATGCTTGCCTCATCTTCATAGTTCTGTGTCTCATTCATTAGTTCTTCACTAAACTCCCACATGGTAGGAACTATAAACATAGCCAGTTCACACATGTGGAATTGGAGGCTCATGGAGACGGAATTCATCAAGGTCAGACAGTTAAAAGTGGTAGAGATGGCCTCAGCACTGTCACCTTACCTTCTTGGGCCCCAGCCATCTTCTCTTGTCACAGTGGGATGAGGACACATGGCTGTGCCTATGGGCTCATAATAAGGTCTCCTCTCAGGACAAGGATTGGGAGGGGTGGGGGAAGCCTTGAATCTCTGAGGCCTGGAGAGTGGGGATTTTCTTGGCCTTGCAACATCTGCATAAGTCATAGACTTGCCTGGGACCCATAAACCACTTCCTGTGCCCCAGGCAGCCCCCCTCCTGCCACATGCCACAGTAAAGGTCGACACCTATAGGCCTAAGTACCCCACCCTTCTTGCCCCATTCTGGGCCCCAGGCCTCACCTGCAGCTGTGATGGTGGTAGGGGGTTCAAGGAGGAAGAAGTGTTGGCTCCACCTCGTAGGTCCCGACCTTGGAAGCTTCCTCCAGGACCCCTGGTCCCTAGGAGTTCTGAGCCCTTGGGTCCAGTCTTCCAGCTTGGCAAGATTGCTGGGGATGGGCCAATGGCCAAGGAAGGAGCCATGGGCTTGGCTGGCCTGGGATTGGGCATTGGGTTCTTCTCAATGGCAGGCTGTAGGGACAACAGTGGAATGGAGTCACATGTGTTCCAGGGGTGGTGTAAGATATTCAGCCACTTGAACTATGTAGATAGCCTCTGGTCAGAGCAGGTGTTGCTGGGATGTGTCTCCAAGGGCCCCATAACTATACCTCTTTTCTGGTCTGTCTTACACACATCCACCCTACCCTGATATCAAGAACACAGATGTATGTATATAACCCCCCCACACACATACACAGGTCCAGCACCTTACTTGCTTGCATACACCACACAGCTCTGTTGTGAATGTGGGACAGTGGGGAGTTGGTTTTTTGAGCCCTTTAGTACCCCTGCATTCTGTACAGGCCACACAGTCTTTGGTGATTTTGCTGGGGCTCATCTTGGACTCTCTTCTTATTTTATCCCAGTGACTTGGGCATGGACTCAAATGGTTCAGGTAGATGCCATTAGAGGGGAGGGTTGCAGGGAACTAGTGGGAAGTGTACTGCAATAGTTTAGGTGTGTGCTGCTGCCGCCACCAACCTGAATAACAGCAGAAGAGCTACTAGGAAGTGGCTGGATTCCAAGCCTCCTTTGAAGACAATCAGGAAAAGTTGCTGAAAGCTTGGATGGAATTGATGAGAGAAAGGGTCAAGATGACTTCTGGGTTTTGGCATAAGCTGTACGACAAAGCGGACATTACTAGAGATAGAGGATGGAAGAGCAGCGTGTGCGGTGATAGTCAGATGTGGCTTGATGGAAAGGTAAGCATTAGATGCATGGGTAGACATGCAGTTAGATAACTGAATTTGGGACTGTAGAGCTCAGGTCCACAGAGGGGGTTGCTCTTCTCTTAGCTTTTGTCCTGCATGGAGTTAACATGGCAGGTACCAGAAAAAAAAACGGGGGAGGGGGGCAGGATTTTTTGATTCAGAGCTCCTGTGAGCTCCCCAAACTAGCTCCAATCTCTTCCCCTCATGCTTGGAATCCCTCTACCACCTCTTCCTTAATCATACTGCAGCTTTCTGTTTTCCTCCTCAAAGCCCTACATGGTGACCCAGGCCCCTCTTGCTGAACCCCAGTACCTTACAGTACCTTAAGGGCGTGACTTTTCAAGATCCCATTGTTCTAGTCGGAGAGGGAACCAGATCTTGAAGTGACTGCAGAAAATTCTACCCTCATTTTAATTAAGGTCATACCCAGGTTCAGAATTTTATAGTCTTGTCATAGCCTAGGACCTCTTTTTCTTTTTAGGCAACGTCTCATGTAGACTGGAACTCACTATATAGCTTTTTGCCTCTGCCTTCTGAGTGCTGGGATTACAAGCTACTATTTCAGGTTGATGCCTACTGCATCCATGCCTCCAGTTCACAAACTCCCTGTTCTGTGTATGTATGCATGTGTATATGTCATTCTTTGTTCTACCATACTACATGCACTCTGCATACAGTTTCTGAAAACAGCCCGTGGGGAGCACAGAAAGGTTTTGGAAGGCAGTTGCATCTTCTTTGTTATTGTGTAATGGGGATCATCAGAGCTGAGAGAGATTGTTATGAGAACCTAGGTATTAAAACTGTAGTGTCTCATGGGTTAAAACATTAGGATGTGAACAGGAGTCTGGGTCTGTGGAGGCTGAGAACACAGGCTTCATAAACAGCGATGAGATGAGGAGCTGGAAGACTGAATGAATGCAGGCAGCCATGAGGTGATAGTTTTCCAAGAAAGATCAGCAAAAAAAAGCATCAGAAACTAGGAGGCCAGGGATAGATTACAGAAGGAACCAACCCTGTTGGCATCTTGATCTTGGTCTTCTAGTCTCCAGAACATGATAACATGATAAATCTATGTTATGTAATTCAGCCAATTTATGATACTTCATTCCAACAATCCCAGCAAATGTGTATCAAGGTTGGTGAGTAGAATTTTCCACCGTACTGGCTTAGCACACATGGCTGGACCATGGTCACTTTTGAAGTGGTCCGGATATTTGGCCAGAACTTATAAGAAATCTCCTCCCTAAATACATCTGGAACTGGTGTGACTCTGGGAAGTATCAGTACATTCTCAGAAAGGGGACCTGAATTCGATATGGTCTGTCTAGTGGTGGTAGGGACTTGGAGGGCTGGGCCTGGCTAGTTTCCTGCACTGTCTGTTGGGGCGTCCCTTTTTGACTATTTCTTAGAAGCTGTATGGAGGTAGTTTCTGGGACATAGAATATGTTTTCCTATCGGGGTCTACATCTGGGCCCTGTTGTCACAACCCCCAACTTGGCCAGATTTTTCTGCCATTGACGTCATGGCGGCCGGATGCACTGGGCTTCATCGGCAACAAGGAGGAAGAGAAGGGGGCAAACAACCCACCCCACAGGTTTCGTTCCGAGAACTAGCTGGTCTATCCTGTAGCCGGATAGTCCCAGGTAGGGTGATGTGGGTGCTAGCGGATGTGGTGGATGACGTCCATCTGGCTACCATGCAGAACCCAAGTTCTGTAAATCCTGTCTTTCTTGGATGTCAGAGGGGCCCAAGGTTGGACGCTTGGTGAGCATTAGGCAGGCCTTCTGAATATTGGGACCCTTTGTCTCTACAGATGGTATAGTAACAGAAACTCGGAACCATAGGATATCATTTCTCAGAGCCAATGGATTTCAAGATCTCAAGAACACAGACTTTGTAGGGTGCATAGATCCACCTTCTCATTGTATGGATCAGTGTCTCAGAGTCCAAAGAAATGGGAAAAACCTAAAGCCAGGTCAAAACCCAATGAGGCCTCTTCCTTGACCTCAGCTCCATAAAGGCAGAGGGTTGGAAGGACCTTCTACTGAGCTCCATTCAAGGCAGAGGGTTGGACGGACTCTCTACTGCCCTGATATGGGGCCAGGCTTTGCCATCCTTTCTAATTTGGGACAGTAATGGGAGCCATGCATCTTTCAAAGTCAGTACATACAAAATGCTGAGCAAATATCAGTGACTGATGATGGACACTTACATATTCCTCCAGCCCCACTGTCCTGAGACAACTTTCCCCAGATTATAACATTCTGCCAGAGATGGGGACAAGAGGAAGACATTTGGCCAGTACCTCATGGAAAGAACACACCACCAAGCTTTAGAATAGTGGTCCCAAGAAACCCAGCACCAATTCTGAGGATGCAGACTTACTGATATATCTCCATCATTACTATTGTCCTTTGGTCAGCTAGGGCTTTTGTCCCATGGGGTCCAGGGACACAGGCCAGAGCTAGTGAGCTTGGCCCCACGCCATGATTATGGACCATCCTGCTCAATCTGGATTCAATTTGTGAAAAGGTAGAAGAGGGGGCAGCACCTCAGGTGTCCTGTTAACTGTCTCCTGGCTACTGAAAGGTAAACTGAGGCCTGCAATGGGAGATGGTCAGGGTCCCACTGAGAATTCTGAGATCTTATCTTGAGTGTAATTCTGACAAAGCATCTCTGTGGGCCTGGGAAGGGGCCTTCCTGCCTATCTCTGAGTCTCAGTTTGCCCTTTTAGACTGAGGAGGGAAGAATATGGGATGGAGGAAGGCAAAAATATCCTGTGTCTGGGGTAAATCATTCATATATATATATATATATATATACCACACACACACACACACACACACACACACACCTATATGTATATATGTATTGTTTATATGTATATATGTGTGTATATACATATATATTATGTGTATATGTATGAGAGAGAATTAAGACATGGGGATGAGGAAATAGACATAGAAGAGATACAGATGGAGAGACAAAGATGTAGAGTGAGAGACATGAGATGGAATAGGAATAGATCACAGAGAGTGATAATGATAGCTATGGGAAAAAGACTGAAAAAGACAGAGGGACAGAGAGATAGAGGATTGACCCTCCCACATAACCACTGGCCTTTGGCTGGAAGACTAATGATGCTAGGTGCCAGAAACACCCATGGCTGGTATTGCAAAGCAACCTCAGCAAAAGAATAGTGTTTTTACTGTTTTGCAAAGCAACATCATAAAAATAGTGTTGGCTTTGTACAACAATAGGTACTATGGTCCAGAACAGATTAGAAAGCTTTAGCGTAGAGGTATGCATAGAAGGAATGGAATTTGTAATGAATGAATGCAGTATTTTAACTTGAGGAATAGTGCAGGATAGAGTAACATGATTCTGAGACAATTAGGGGAAAATAAAGTGACTGGGTAGACTGATCACTCCACTTTCCCACAATACTTTTCTGCCCACTTGAAATCTCAGTCGTCATATGCTTTAGAATAATTTCCAGATCCACTTAAGAGATACATTTTAATGTCTATTGTTGTGTGTTTGGCCTTGTGCTAAGCACCTATTAATAGATACGATCCTCAGAAAGATTCTCTGAGCTAGGTACTGTTATAATCATCACAGTATATACGAGGAAATGGAGGTACAGAGAGGTTAAGTGCCTGGTTAAAAATTCACACAGACAACTTGAGGTGAGGGTAGGTTGTTCCAGACAGTCTGGCTCCAGTACCCACACTTTTGACCTCTATAGTAAATGGAAAAAATGAAGCCATGAAGGAGACTGGAAGCCAACATGGGGTGAACAGTTATCTCATTTTCAAGTGGCAAAAGACTTAAAACACAAAGCCATAAGACAGAAGCCACATGAGAAAAGAGTAATCTGAATACGTAGAACCCACGTGCATTACAAAGCACAATAAACAGAAAAAGGCAAATGAAAGCCAGGTGTGGTGGCATGTGCCTTTAATACCAGCACTTGGGAGGCAGAGGCAGATGGATGGATCTCTGTGAGTTTGAGGTCAGTCTGGTCTACACAGTGAGTTTTTAGCCACCCAGTGCAATACAATGAGACCTTGTCTCAAAACAAAAACAAAAAAAGCACACAAATGGGGCTGGAGAGTTGGCTCAGTGGTTAAGAGTACTGGCTGCTTGTCTTGAGGAGGTGGCTTCTCATTTTCAAGTGGCAAAAAGACTTTTAAAACAGAGCCATAGACAGAAGCCACACAAGTGCCAGCACCCATGTAACCATCTGTAACACCCATGTAACTCCA